ACAAACAGTGCATAACATCTCAGATAGGATCCTCACCAAAGCCGAAACCAATGTCCTTTCCAAAGGATTCAACTTTGCAGTCGCTCCCAAAAGCATCCCCACTGAAACCATTATATGCGGAGTTGAAACCAGCCTGACCAAAATCAACCCCGACAATGCAAACAGAATCAGACTCGAAATCACCAACATCCTCTGCACCAGCAAGCTACCCAAAAGTAACTTACCCAAAGAGGAACAGACAGCACTACTTAACCTGAAAGAAGACACCAGCATAATAATCCTACCAGCAGACAAGGGCAATGCCACGGTGGTTATGAACACATCTGATTACCAAACCAAATTAACCAACCTACTCCAAGACTCCATATACAAACCCCTAAACACAGACCCCGCCACCTACCTGGAAAAAACCACCAGATCCAAAATAAAAACCTCCCCCATCAGCGAAGAGATTCAGCAAAGAATCTTTCCCAGAGAGAAATCCCAGAGAGAAATCATCCAGATGCCCTAAGCTTTATGGTCTCCCCAAGATACACAAAGAAGGAAGCCCACTTAGACCCATAGTCAGCTCCATAGGCTCACCTCTACAAAACCTAGCCAAATTTCTCGCCAAACAACTACAGCCCTATGCAGAATCCATCACCTCATACGTAAAAAACTCATTCCAGTTCATAGACATCATAAAGCAACAAAACTTACAGCCCAGTGACCTACTCGTGAGCTTCGATGTCATATCCCTCTTCACCCAAGTACCAATCAAAGAAGCCTTGACAGTTATCCAAAACAAATATAACCCCCCCAAGCACATCTTAGATCTGACCAACCACTGCCTATCCAACACATACTTCATCTATAATGGGCAGAAATACAAACAAATAGAAGGAGCACCCATGGGATCACCCCTCTCACCTGTCATTGCCAACCTCTATATGGAATACTTTGAAACCCAAGCTCTAGAAAAATCTGATCACAAACCCAAACTCTGGCTCAGATATGTAGACGACACCTTCATAATCTGGCCACATGGGAAAGAAAAACTGGACAACTTCCTCACACACCTCAACAGCCTACACCCCAAAATACAGTTCACCATGGAAACAGAAGCGAACAACCAACTTCCCTTCCTGGATGTCTTAGTCTACAGAAAATCCAATGGCTCCCTAGGACACACTATCTACCAGAAGAAAACACACACAAACCGCTATCTGCACGCACTCTCACACCACCACCCTGCCCAGATCAACTCTGTAGCCAAGACACTCATTTCCAGAACAAAACGCTTAGCTGACGAACAACACCTAAAAACCGAACTATACACTCTCACTAACGTACTAACATCCAATGGATTCCAAAGAAATAAGATCACCAACCTAATCCAAAAAGAAACCGCCACTAAAATCCAAGACAGAGAACAAGAAAACGGCAAAGCCCTCCTCCCATACATAAAAGGCACCACAGACAGAATAAGCAAAATCCTCCACAAACATAACATCAAGACAGCATTCTGCACAAACCGAAAAATATCCACCATCCTAAGGAACCCCAAAGACAAAATTGAGTTAGAAAATCAAGGAGTATATGAAATCCCATGCACCGCCTGCCCCACCACATACATCGGACAAACCAACAGACGAATAAGTGCACGCATAAAAGAACACAAGAACTCAGTCAGAAAAGAGGAACCAACTTCTTCCCTGGTCCAACACCTTAAAGCCACAGGACATGATATTGACTTTAAAAAGACCAGAACTATCGCCAAAACTGAACACTTTAACAACAGAATAATCAGAGAAGCCATCGAGATAGAAAAACGCCCACACAGCATGAACAAACGAGACGATACCTCCCGCCTACCAGCCATTTGGAAACCCGCCCTTATTGACAAACGAGTCCCTAACACGACAAATGACACCAGACCCACACTCACGAGAGCCACACAGGATGTCACCACCACACATCCACGCAGAAAGCAGACTCAAACCCACACTGATAATGAGGCACGACCAAGGACCAGAAGCCAGACCACAGCTGCATCATTAGCCACTTTAAACCCCTCCAATCCATACATGAAGCAGACTGACACCCACCATGAAGAGCTCGCACGGCCACAAACACGAAGCCAAACAACAACAACGCAGCTCACCAGCTCAAATCCCCCTGCAACTCAGACTAAGCTGAGCACAACCAAGCCCCCACCCAAACAGAACACACCTCCAGCCAATCAGAGCACAACCAACCCCCCATCCAATCAGAGCACAGCCAAGCCCCTAACCAATCAGAACACACCTCCACCCAATCAGAACACAGCCAAGTTCCCACCCAATCAGCTCACACCCCCACTAGCACTTAAAAGGAAGAGACAGCTGCGATCTCACATTGCTCCTGGAAGCACGAAGCCGAGAACACCAGCCTGAAGATGACGAATGAGACTTCGTCGAAACGTCGCCAAGACACTTCCAATTTTACATGGGAGAAGACCCGAATAACCAAAGACCTACATACATACACACACACACACACACATACATACATACATACATACATACATAAAGAATTCCATTAAAGTATCATAATGTCTATGAATCTTACATTATTTTCAATTATGAAAATTAAAAACAAAAATCACAAATATTCATATACTATAATAATGGATTAACCACCTCATCCAATTATTTCATTTCAATAATTACTTCTTTCATTTTGACAAATTTCATTTTGAATTCTGTTCAAAAAACAAATCTGGCTAACAAATATTTTGCTGGGCAGAAGCTATAATAAAGTGATTAACTCTTTTTCCCTAGGATAAAACTTAGGTTTTAAATTTAAATTTTAAGTGTTCAATTTATCAATTTCAACTGTATAAAAATATGCTTGTCTCTTGCCACCAAAATGGTAATTCAACCATTTTATTTTTATTTTATATTGACTTGATTAAAATAATGTGCTTATTCACTTGATCTTTAGATGAATTGGAAAATCACTGGCCAGCTCCTAAATGTGGTTATGTGTGAAAACATCCTGTATTGTTGAAATGATATTTAAGGACTGGAAACAAGGTGACACGAAGAAAGCCTGCTGTATGTTTCACTGATGCCAGTGAAATTTCACTGTGAAATTTTAGTTAAATTTCACCTCTAGATATCAAGAATCTCATTTTAGATTCCTATTGCAATAAGGACAAGAGGAAGATAAAATTTTAGAAAAGCTTTTACAAAGTGCTCTTGGATAGACTTAAGATTTACACGATGTTTAAAGCAATGTTTTATCTCCAGAAAAGGAATATAAAATTAAAGTGCCAGAGGGAAATTAAAAAGCTGAGACCCCATCTTCATCTTATAAACAATCAGCACAGAGGATTTTTGCCCATACTTTTAACATCTTACTTATGGGAATTGATCCCTCATTTTGAAAACCATAAAAATAATGAATGACATATGATAAAAGTTGCAGGTGCATGACATAAGATGAAAATTCTTCAGGAGTAGGTTAAAAAAAAGTTGTAAAGTTCCTTTCAACTAAATGATTACAGCTGTAGCTTGTCTGTTTAAATTTGCATTTTAAAAAGATTCTGGCCTAGGTAGGAAGAAAACTTTATACTTCTGAAAGTGTGCTCTAATTTAGCCTTATTCTCATTTACTACAAATGTTGGGCAACTGACATTATTTGACTTCCAACAAGAAGAGAAAAGCTGGTAAGAAATAGCCTTATATTCCTTTATTTAAAAATAAATTTAAGGAGGCATGATTCAGATTGAATTTTAAAACTTTTTTAAAGTTTCCAATCATGGTAGTATTTTTATAACAAAGCCACAAGACATAATGATAACTTTAAAATTAATACACTATCTTTGATAGTACATTTGATAGTTTTAATGTGCCACAGAACTATCAGATTTTTAAAGCTACTGAACTGATGTAGGAAATTATTGCATGTGGTACTCAAGAAAAAAAGATAATGTATTCTAAAATACTTTCTTTAGAATGTAAATTAGCAAAATATTTCAAAATATGCCTTTTTCATTTATATCCACCAAGAAAAGTAATTCTATATAAAGCTGGTTGAACAATTTGCCTGTATACATTGTTTCCAAATAGGTTCAAGGAAAATGAGAATTTTTAGTGGTGGAGAAAATGTGAAATGGAATGGCTGTTTCTTTCTTTTCTTGTACAATAATTGATTCTAAAATGAATTGGGAAATAAATGTTGCAATTTATACCATGACATGAACTGAGACATTCTCAGGTGAAAAGGGGGTGGTTTTTACCAGTAAATCAAGTGGCGTCATATATAGGTTAAAGGTCAAAATGTCCTCTTTTTTGTCTTTTTTTAAAAAACACAATTCATCTGGTATGCTTTTAAAGGCCACTTGATATTCAAAAGGAATATGATATTTTTTTCCTCATATGGAATCACATGTATTTTATTTCTCTGTCATGTGAGTATGAGTCACAGGAACAGGATTGGTAAAAAGAAAAAAATGGGCCTGAAAGTAATGATTTCATGTTTAACTCAAAGATAGAGTTGTAACAATATCCATTGTTGAGATCTATGTTCTCTAAACAAAAATGTTCAGAACCTCGACTTAGATCTGCTAAGTTGGAAGCAAAGCTCCAGTGGGCATTATTCTTCAATAATACATCACTGAATTCTGTAGATCTTAAATTCCACTGAAGTCATTGGTAGGTTATTGAGACTTACACTGAAGAAGGCATGCTTAGAACATGGAGCCTCTTCTCTTTCTCCTATATCTGCTGGTGTCATATGTATTCAAGGGATAGATGTAGTGCTTCCAATAGTCTTTTGAGGAGGTCAGTTTTTGGTATTCCTCATTAGGAATTCCCACAAATGCTCAAAAAGTTGTTTATTGCCACACCAGAATCCCTAGCTGATCAGCAACCAAATCACTTTAATTAAATTTTAAATTAATTAATTTGTTAATTAAAACACTAAGCAATAATTGTTTCATATGCCATAAACTTAAGTATTGATTTTATTTATAGGTAATATATTGCTCCAAAGATGTCAGAGGAAAGTATTTCTTTGAGGCTGCTAAAAACAGCAGTAGTGAAGCACAGCATTCCAAAAGAAGGGTCAATTTGCTCTAACAACATGCTTTCACTTTCAAAGTCATTGGCATCTCTACCTCCCTTGCCAAATAAATTAATTCAAGTAAGATCATTATCTGAAGACAGTCCTGAAGGCTTGAGCTCACGGTATCCGAAGAGGACTTATGAAATGATGACTACCTACGATAGAAAGCCAAGCAAGAGCACCCATGTTTCCAAGTTTATGTTCCCAAGAAGGCTTTCAACTATAATAGGTTCAGAGGAATCTACAGTAACATTTAAAGAAATAAATCCCTTTCCAATGATGTCAAGGAAAAGATCCAGTAACTGCAGTGATGCACAGTCCAATGAAGGCTTGGTTGCCATAGCAAAACAAATAAAAAGTGGGGAAGAAACAACTGTCTTTAAAGAATCAGTAACAAAAAGAAGGAAGAAGAGAAATATGAAAAAAGTGTTCGTGGTAAATGATTCCCTTCTATGCTCTTTTCTTTATAAATCTAAGAGGTTCTGCAAAGGTTATAGGTGCTTATTAAAAACCTAATAATGGTGGCTATAGTTGAATTATGCATGTAGCAGGGCAGGTTCCAAATCCTATCGCTACTGGTTTGCTGATGCACACACATGGCGCTTCTGCAGAAGCATCTGGGTAGGTGGACAGAACCTCCTGCCGTCGCCACTACCGGTTCGCCCGATCCTGTGCAAACCGGTAGCAACTCACCACTGTCATGTAGGGAGAAGTTTCACCCTGATCTGTGTTCAGTGTGAACACATCCAATGACTTGAGGAAGTTACTAAGATTTAGGAAACCAAATGCCCAGGCTGGCTGCAGAATAGTGAAGTATGTTCATCCTTCGCTCAGCGCCAGTTGTTGGTTATTGTTGGCCTTGTTGGAATTAATTAAATCTAAAAAGCCACTATTTTCTCATCCCTATCACAGACTATTGAAGCTGGAAGAAGATAGAATTTAGGTAGAGAAAAAAAAAGTAGTGTATATAATCTGAGCAAATCTATAGATCTAATCAGAAACAAATCTCCAATAATCTTGAACAGCAATTTAAAAAGCATAATATAGAACATAAAAAGAAAGATTGCTTTTTTAAAAAAGTAGTGTTCAGCAAACTTTACAAAGACATCTGGTGTGCCTATCCCAAATTAATTTGGAATTTGTGGGTGTCTGATTTTTATGAAGTTTGTTTACAGTAGTATTAGTGTTTCTGTAATATGTACAGTATGTCATAATTAAGAATTGTCTGATTAGGCAGTGGTATTATTCCCTCAATCTATTTTATTTGCACAACATTCCTGTGAATTAGGTTGGTGGGAGGGGCAGTAATATGTGTGAAATCAACACTGTCCATTTTAACTGAGAAAAAATATGGTCTTTCCAATAGAAGAAGTCTATGAAATTAAATCTGGAGACATTTCTAAAAGACCTACATTGCTGCTGTACTTATGCAGAAATCCTTGTTCTAGACCAAAGATCCTGGATTTATTTTTGAAGTGAAAATATTTTAATCATACAGAGATCTTTCTTTCATACTTAGTAAAAATTGTTCTTGATAAAGAAAAGTTGGTGCTCCAGAAGGTTGCAGGAGCAGCAATTTTATTCATGACTCCTTTTTCCAGTATATTCTGTGACATCTTCTACTCTTTTCTACTATATACTCCAAGTATATTTCAGAGGGTGCAAAAAACTCTTTTGGGAAGGAGAATTGGGAAAAATACTTTTTCTCCCCCATTTGATATTAAATTGAATACTGTAACATTCAGAGGTGAGGTCCTCCTCAAATGTTTGCCAATTAGTTCACAACAAGCCAGAAAAAATGCTGCTTCTATTTCTAAAGTATGTTAAACACCTCTTAGCTCTTTGCTTGGTTTCAGTAGACATATTTAAAATTTGTATTATATGTTCAATTATGAATATGTTCAGTTAGGCTATTGTAATTTTTAACAATTTTTAATTGTTATTTTTAAAATAATGTTTGATCATTCCATTCAAGTCCTAAATGCTACACTCATGGTGTTAATTTTGGTATGGCAACCTCGTTATTTTTCTTCTCAATTGCAGGAAGAAAGAGTTAGACAATGGGAATTACGCCTACTTGAAAACATTGAAGAAGCAACTACTCATGAACTAACAATTGAGTACATTTGAATCTGAATTAGAAGAAGCAGTGAAAAAAGGTTACAAGACTCGACAGTCTAATATTGCCAGGCTGGTCATTCATGACCTTGTACCCAGTATGAACTTCGTTGTATTGAAACTGTAGCTTTAGTGAAAAATTAATGAATGTACCCTCAACAAGATGGGGAGAAATTATGTGAGGTTGCTTGTAAAATAAACTTTGCTGGCAAAAAAAAATATATCTTTATCTATAGAGTAATAATAGATGATGCAATGAGGGATGTTTTTCCACTTAGTATGGGGAAAGATCAAAAGGCAAATGATCGGAGGACAACTTTTGGATTACTTATTAATGACATGTGTTTTCCATTCTTTAAGGCTATGACATTTCTCAATGAGCCTGTTGTTTTATTTTTCTTTCTTTTCCATCCATCTCCTTATCTGGCCATAGTTTTCAGTTTTCAGATATATGCATTATGTGACCATTAAATACTATAAGTTTTGTTTACTATCAATAATAGGATTTGCAAAGCCTGATGGAGAAACAGAGGCTGGTATACCAAGGAAGCCTGTCTTGTTTTTCACATTAACAAGTCAGCATGCTATTTACCAAAGTCATGTTAATATCCTGGCATATTAAAGGGATTAACATAGCATTTTATTTAAATTTCTGATTTACGTGACATGATATGGTTAATCAGATTTTGTATGAGATAGGCTATTTTCTTGGATCCAGCTGTTTTGAAATGGGTACATAAATGGAAGAGATGTTACAAAAAGTTTTTTTAAAAAACTCCCAGTAAGTTTCATAGAGTTTCTAACATACATGTATTCATGAAGCACCTCAGCCTAGAGATTTGCTTCCTTATGTAGAATTACATAGGAGTTCTGCTGGTCATATTAGATTCATTAGCTAGGAAATGGCAGTTGAGTGTAGGAAGGGTTCCATTTGCATGCTACATTTTTTAAAAAATCAAACTGCATCCCCAGGAATACCAGAATTCCTTTGTAGTGTGTGATATAAATCTGGACTGTGTACAGTATTGTAAAATCTAAGTAACATTTTTTGCTTCATTTTTGGCTGCAATCAGTTTCAATATGTCCAGGTGGCAATAATTCCTTAAAATATTTATAGGTATTTTTGAAGAATATTTTCTAACAGGATTTCCCTCTGTCTAATAAATATGACATTTTTAAATGTTGATAGACAAAAGAGAAGGTCAAACATGAAGATGTAAAAAACTGAATCCAAGTTACATTCTCATGTGATACTTTTCACAACTAGGCAAAAATGTATGGCACAATACAGGTCAGGCTGACTTAGATAGAAATTTTAGATGGGAATACTGGGTGTGGATGGCTGTTGGGCATTCATAGCTGTCTCACAACAAGTCAGGTTGACCTAGCTTGTTTTATTCCAACTAGAATTAAAAGTTAATTGCATGTAGCTCAATTGGACTCAACCCAGATTAGCTATTATTACTAGGCATATATAGTCATAGCATATTTGTTGAGGGATGTGGAACCTGTCCAGCATTGATGATAAAATGGAAGAGTCTGGTTTCTTTTTCCTTTTTTAAAGGAAAAGGCTTCCAAGTTGTTTTAACCAGGGGTGAAATCCAGCAAGTTCTGACAGGTTCTGGAAAACCGGTAGCGGAAATTTTGAATAGTTTGGAGAACCTGTAAATACCAGCTCTGGCTGGCCCCAGAGTGGGGTGGAAATGGGGATTTTGCAATATCCTTCCCCTGGAGTGGGGAGGGAATGGGGATTTTGCAGTATCCTTCCCCTACCATGCCCACCAAGACACGCCCACCAAGACACACTACACCCACCAAAACACACCCATAGAACCAGTAGTAAAAAAAATTGATTTCACCATTGGTTTTAACTTAACTAGTTGATATTTTGGAGCTGCAATTACTAACTAATATGTGTAAGTTTTTGGAGAAAGAATAATTTTTGTGAAGTAATAAAAAAGGTGGTTTAGTGGTTAAAATGTAGTGTTGCAGGCCAACTCTGCCCACTGCCAGGAGTTCAATCCTGACCAGCTGAAGGGTGACTCAGCATTCCATCTTTCCAAAGTTGATAAAATGGGGACCCAGATTGCTAAGGGCAATATGCTGACATTGTAAACTGCTTAGAGTGTGCTATAAAGCACTTTGGGGTGGTATATTAGTCTAAGTGCTATTGCTATTGTTTGAGGAATTTCTGAAAACACAAGATGTTATACTCATGCTTCAAGGTAAGATGATTATAAGTACTATAATAACCATGATTAGGAAATGATTGGTAGAGGATCTTTTGCACTAGATAACATTGAAGGTGCTTGTAAAGTAGAAATGTACTGTTAGTTTATTTCCCACTTCTGTGCGACTTTGGAATATGTTTTTGAGAGTCTTTGGAAAATGGGAGAATGATATCCTAAACAAGGCAGTCTCTCAAATGTAAGAGACTCACATTTTAAATATATGACTCTGGGTGGCTAAAAATTAAAAATGAAATAAACAGCATTACAAAAGTATAAAAACAAATATAAATAACACCTGGCAAAAATGACCCACAATAACACTAATAATCACAGTTAACATGTGAAGAAATAAGCTCACCTACACCATCAGAACACCAAACTAATGATAAATCCAGGTCTTTAAGATCTTATGAAAGGTCAGTAGGATTGTGATATCAGGGGTATGGGAGGATATTCTAGAGAGTGGCATAACAGAAAAGGCTCTCTTTCTAGGTCCCATCAAATGGCATTCCACATGGACGGGAGGCAAAATATGTCTCTCCTGCTGGATCTAATTGGTTGGGGAGATAATTTAGTCCCAAATCATGAATGATTTTAAAGGTAACCACCAGTGCCTTGAATTGTACTTGGAAATATACCAGCCAGCAATGCAGCTCACAGAGCAGAATGCCACTTGTGCTGAATGACAAGAACCCATAATTGCCTATTCCACTGTTTTTAGCATCAATTAAAGTTCCTCTTTATTTTCATTAAAGTACACTGCAGTAAGCCATCTTGAATATATGCTAGAGATACAGTATGTAAAAATCCACAATATAAAAACTATAAAACCTGAGCTACACACATCAGCAGCATTTGTAAGCATTTTGGAGAAATGCAGATGAGACTGGCAGTATAAAAACCAGTTCAAGTTCCTTTCCTTGGTGTGGAAAATACATAGTGTGGACAGAAAAGGAAGAATTGAATGAGAGACAGACAACATTCTAATAGATGATTGGTAAATTGAAGATTACAAAGAATATCACGGACAGCCAAGAAAACAAACAAATGGATCATTAAACAAAACAACTTAGAATTTTCACTCAAGATCCATATAATTAAGTTTAAAGTATTCTACTTTGGATACATTATATAAAAACCTAGTTCTCTGGAAATGTCTACAGCTAGTTGGAAGGAAAGATTAAAAAAAAAAAAAGGATGACCAGCAACAAGACAACTCTGCAAAAAAGTATTTTGGGGAAATAACTAGAAAAATATTTAATTGAATGTGTTAATTATTCTTACTGTTACTAAATAGGTATTTATCCTTGCTGATAACCCAGAACTACTAAAGGAATACCAATGCCTTTAGTAGATAATTCATGCTTTTCAACTTGAATATTCAATACTGGTTTTCAAATATCCTATCTTTAGGACATGTTCTCCAATACAATTGTACACATTGACTTAACTATTGATAAATTCTAGCATTTTTCAGATCTTGGGTTATTGCAGAGTAATCTACTGAATCTAGACTTTAAATCAGATTAAAGGCAAAACAGTGCCAACATAACAAATGAAGGAACATGTATCTTATTCTTGGGAAAAGAAAAGGATTAAAATGGTAATACACATGCAATGGTAAATCACATGCATTTATTTTTTTCCTTAAGGTCTCAGGAGAACCTACAGTGTAATCCTTTAAAATAAAATTAAAAACAAGTTTTAAAAGAAAAGAACAAATTAAAATTGCTGATTGAATTCAGATAATTTTGCAATATAATTATATAATTAAAAATGTATTAATATTCATGATTTGGCAAAGAGATAAATTGGGGAAAAATTGTTAATATAATTAAAATAATACTGTTTCTAACCACAATAATAAAATGATATATATTGTAATGGGAAGAAAAAAGATAAATCAAAAAGTTTTAGTCAGCCAGTTTGGTATAGTGATTAAGGTGCTTGCCTGGAAACCAGGAGACTATGAATTCTATTCCAGCATGAAAGCCAGCTTTGGGCCAGAGGATTCCACTGTTTCTTTGGCAAGAAAAAAATCAATAAATGTATATGTAGTCAAACAATGGCAATTTGAGAAGGAGACAGTTTAGCCAATGGACTTCCTAGATATTTATGATATAGAGATACAAAGAAAGATAGAAATCTATAAAGACATATATTAAACACATCTGATAAATGCATGGCAATTCTACAAAAGGAACAAGCCCGACAATTTAACCTTTAGCTTATAACTGAAATGTTTTTCATGTTGGACACAATTATAGCAAGGAAAAATTTTCAGATAGTTTTTGATTTAATGACCACAATTAGGATCTGAACTAAGCAATATGGTCATTAAATGAGATACACCTAATTTTACAACCGTTTTTGCTGTAGCCATCAAATGAATTCTGAGATCATTAAGCAAATCAGGTTTCCTCCATTCTGACTTTGCTTGTCAGAACTGCCCTGAGAAGATTATAAAGCAATTATATAATCCAGATTTCAATATTAAGTAATCAGGTCAAGACCAACACTTACATATGTTTTTATTGAAAATAATGTTAAACCTTTGTAAATTTATTTTACTTTATTTTTTATTTCCCCCCCCCCCCAAAAGATAAAATACAAAATACAAAAAATCAAGAATTACAAACAAGACACAAAAAAAGAAAAGAAAAAGTGTATAACAAATATAAAATTAACAGTAAACAGTACCACTCTAGTACAATGCTAATATTTGTATCTCAAACAAATCTAATGTCTGCCCCCCTTTGCATTACTGGTCTATAAATAGTTATACACATTTTCCATCTGTGCTTGTTTTATTTTCCATCTGTGCTTGTTCTATTACTATTTTACATCACGTTATCTTAATAAATATTCCAAATATACAAATCTATTGTCTGTCAATCAAATCAGCCAAATACCTGTTCATTGTAAGAAAGCTGTTATCGTTAATCCCCAAAATAAATTAACTCCCAAAATTAATATGTTAATAGCCCA